TAACTAATAAAAACCAATATTTTATTTAAACTTTGATTTTAAAAAATTTAAAAACTAAAAAAAATAAAAAAAACTAGCACCCGGAGCAACGCCCGGGTCTATAAGCTAGTAACACCGGCTATAAATAGTAATATTTTATTAATTTTCAAAAAGTGATTTAGTATAAGGAATAAATTTACTTCTATTAAAAGGTTCAGAAGGTGATATGTTAAATGTATAACGAAATATTCCCAAGGCTTGATTTGATTTAGATAATTCAAATAATATTTCTTGATCTTTTTGCCAATTAGTAAAAATTTCATAAAGTTTTGCAGCAGATGGTCGATTTTTTGGTTCTTTATCCCAACATTCTTTCATTAGATTTACATAACATTGTGGCGCGCTTTCATAGATAGCAGGGCGTAAATCATCATAACATATTTGCTCTTGAAGTTGTAATTCATCATTTTGATCATAACATACAGGTTTACCAAATAAAATTTCCCACATAATTATTCCAAATGAATAAATATCGGATGCTGTTGTATATTGTTCTCCGTCTAAAATTTCTGGAGCTATATACGGTAAAATTCCATAAGTTTTTTCTCTATTAACTTCTTCTTTTGATGCTATATTTGATGATATCGAAAGTCCCAAATCTGCAATATATGCACTATATAAATTATCCTGTAAGATGTTACCACTATGTAAATTTTGATGAATAAATCCTTGAGAATGAATTACTTTGAGATCATATGTAATACAAAGTAATAAATTTAATTTTTTTTTCCATTTTATTTCTGCTATAGTACGAAGATTTTTACGCAAAGATCCTGATCTCGCATATTTTAAAATAAGGATATAATCATTAGTGACATCATTTTTTGATACTCCATAACATTTTAAACATAATGGATTTTCGTAACTTATATCGCAATACATCTTTAACTTTAATATTAAAAAATAAAATAATTAATATGTAAAGTATATAATACTTTTTAAAAATACTGTATTTAAATTAAACTCTAATTACCTCTTTTATAAATTCTTTTTTATAAAAATTTGATCCGTGAAATAATTTAAGCGCAAAAGCTCGCCATATGTTTTGCTTTTTATCAAACAAGTCAGCATAATATACAGTTGAGAATCCACCTCGTCCCATCTCCTCAACGTTTTCAAATTTACTATAAGGAATCCAAGATAACGAATATTCATCTTTATTCAATATCTCTATTAAATCATCTTCTATATTAAACGTTTTATTCATCCATTCGTTCGTAACTAAAAATTATTTAGTTTTTAAATCATTTTAAATAAATTAATTTTAAATAAATTCATTTTAAATAAATTAATTACCTGAAAAATTATTTTTTTCCCTATATAATTTAATTATGTATATTTATATAAGTTTTAAGTATATCAGATATCTAAAGAATATTATATGAATAAGTTACTTACATTTCGTACCAATAATTTGCCTTAAGTAAATTTTTTTCTATTCCAATCCCATTTTCATAACAATAACCAACTTGACGCATTGCAATAGTATATCCCATATTAGCATAATTTTTATAATGAACGAATGCCATGTGTTCATCCCTTTTAACTCCAATTCCATTACGATAAAAATAACCAACTTGAGTTATTCCATCAGAATCACCCACTTCAGCAGATTTTTGATAATAATAGAATGCCAAGTTTTCATTCTCGACAACACCAATTCCATTTTCATAACAGCATCCAAGGTTATAGAATCCATCGGGATTACCCACCTCGGCAGCTTTTTGATAATAATTAAACGCCTTATATTTGTTCTTTTCAACTCCTACCCCATTTTCATAACAATAACCAACTTGAACCATTCCATTACTATGTCCTTTCTGTGCAGCTTTTTCATAAGCAATGAATGCTTTAGTTTCATCTTTTTCAACACCAATTCCATTTTGATAACAAAATCCAAGACTATATGCACCATCAGAATCTCCTAGATCAGCACATTTTTCATAATTAATAAATGCTTTATATTCATCTTTTTGAACACCAATTCCGTTTTTATAACAACATCCAAGACTATATAATCCGTCAGCATTATTCATATCAGCAGATTGTTGATAATAATTAAATGCTTTTTGTTTATCTTTTTTTATACCAATTCCATTTTGATAACAATAACCAACTTGATTAATTCCAATAGCATATCCCATATTTGCAAATTTTTCATAATAAATGAACGCCATATGATCATCCTTTTCAACACCAATTCCATTTTCGTAACAATTACCAAGATTAAATATTCCATTAGCATGATCCATATCAGCAGCTTTTTTAAAACAAATAAATGCTTTATATTCATCTTTTTCAACACCAATCCCATTATCATAACAAACACCAAGATTATATGTTCCAGTAACACTTCCCATATCAAAAGCTTTTTGATAATAAGTAAAAGCTAAATATTCATTAATTTTAATTCCTACACCATATTGATAACAATAACCGACTTGAATTATTCCATCAATATAACCCATATTAGCAGATTTTAAATAATAAGTGAAAGCAGAAAATTCATCCTTATCAACACCAATTCCATTTTCATAACAAAGACCAAGATTAAATATTCCTTTAACATAACCCATTTCAGAAGATTTTTCATAAGAAATGAAAGCCAAATATTTATTTTCTTCGACACCAATACCATTTTCATAACAAATACCAAGATTATATAATCCTTTATAATTTCCCATAGTAGCAGATTTATAATAATAATTAAAAGCTTTACGTTCATCTTTTTCAACACCTATACCATTTTGATAACAATAACCAAGACGATAATTACCATTAGGATGTTTTAATTTAGCAGATTTTTGATATAAATAAAAAGCTTTTTGAGAATTTTTTTCAACACCAAAACCTTTATCATAACAATAAGCAGATTTATAAATTCCATTAACATCTTTTAAATTAGCAGATTTTTGATAATAAAAAAAAGCTTTAAATTCATCTTTTTCAATTCCAATACCAAATCTATAACAATTACCAACTTGTATAATTCCATCAAAATAATTTAATTCACAAGATTTTTTATAATAATAAAAAGCTAATTTTTCATTTTTTTCTATACCTAAACCATATTGATAACAAATTCCAAGATTATAAATTCCTTTAACTAAACCTATATCAGCTGTTATTTTATAATATTTAAATGCTATATTTTCATCTTTTTCTACTCCTATTCTATTTTGATAACAATTTCCAAGATAATAAATTGATTTTATATCTCCTACCATTGCAGCTTGTTGATAATATGTAAATGCTTTATATTCATCTTTTTTAACTATTATTCCATTTTTATAAACATATCCAAGAGCTCTTTGAATACGTGATAAATTTAAATTATTTTTTGTTTCTATGTTAATATCCATGTTTTTTTTTAAAAAAAAATATATATATAATAAGAGAAAAAAAAATTCTTTTTTTTTAATTTTAAAAATATATATAAACGAAACGCGAAAAATTATAAACGCGTGACTTGAATTTTATATATATATTTTTTGAAATTATAAACGCGAGGAGGATTTTTTGAAAAAAAGTTTTTTTTTTTTTTTTAAACGCGAGATAAACATAATGAGTAGTTTAAATAAAAAATCATTAAAAAATTTTAAAATCGTTAATTATTCATGAAAATGTACTTAATGTATTACGAATGAATATTTTAAACTTTCTCCATAACTTTTCGAGATGTAAAAAAAGTCCATTTTAGGTAAGTGTCTGGAATCGAACCGAATAGATTGCTTCCTATAATCATTATGACTATCAATTCAAATTACGTATCATTATTCCATTAAGGGTTAGAAGGGTTAGAAGGGTTAGATGTTACTTGGATCATCAAACATATTCCGATATTCACAAAAATTGACTAACAAACTTTGACGTTAAACACCAATAGTGTGATATGGTGTCTTTGCTTTGAAATAGATCATATGATCCAAACATGATTTTCAAGGCAAAGACCTAAATCTGTATCGGTATTCTAATAATTTTCACCTATTAATTGGTAATAAAATTAATAAAATCCAATTTATTAAGCCATAACATGAATTTTAAATCAGATCCGTTATATAAAAAAAGTTCACCCGGTTATTATTTTTTTTATGAAAACCAATTTATTAATTCTATATGACCTTAACCATACAGATATTTTACTATAAATAACATTCTGGTCTTTTGTTAGCAAAGATCACATATACACAACTAATACTGTAATTTTTAAGGAACCATTTAACTGCATAAAAATTGTTCTATAATTCCGTTTCGAATTATGTTGATCGTGGGTCAACGATATCTTAATGCCAATTAAATTAAGCGGTTAATACGATTAAACGATTAAGAAATTTTAGGTTTCAATCCTTAACTGTAGTATGATTATATATGTCAATCGTAGTTTGACTTAATTTTGTTTGTTAATTATAACTATACGTTTTGACTAATGATATGTGAGTATTTCTTTAAGGGAACGAATCAAAATTTATCGACACATTTAGTTTATTAATAAAGTCTAATTTATGGATCATCAAACATATAACAAAACACGAGAAGATCCGTCATTAACGTTACAGAAAATTCAGCAGTTCACATGATTTTAATATAAGTATTACGTAACTTCCGATGCTTAATTATGTATCCAATCAAATTTTTAACTATAAGTGCCAAGACTTTATTTTTAGATTAGTCCCTGACGACTACGTAAATGTTCACCAAAAATAATTAATGTTAATTTTTTTTTATCAGATACGTATAACTTTTAAGATTATTAAAGATACTATACGTATAAATAAATAAACAATAATAAATATTTTTATACGTTTTAAGCAACTTGTAATTGAGGATCATCCTGTAGTTGTTTTTTAGATTCCTTTTTTAAATTTTGTTGATCACCAAAAAGTCTAGTTACAAATGAAGAAGCCATATTACTCTCAGCTTGTTTTGCTAATAATTTTTGTTGATTTCTTCTTGTTCGTTTTAATAAAATTCCATTTCCATTTCCCCTTACATATTTATACTTTTTTGGTTCATCAGTTTGAAGGTAACAAATCAATGTAATGAAAATTATTAAACAAATTATATTTAACCACATAAAGATTAGATTCACTGCTCTAATCTCACAGGCCTCCTTAATCTTTGGTGAAGTGTAGTGGTACGAACGCGGACATGAGAAAGGGATTGGTGATATTTCTGATATAGTTAGCGCTGTGTAGGTTGCTTATTATCATTGTTTAATATTTATTTAATTATATATATATATTAATGAAAGAAGCATTTTAGGATAACGTGAAACTATAAATTAAAAATAACAATCTTACCCGGAATTATTAATAGTAAAACGGTTGCAAAACTAAAAAAAAATATATTACGAAATAAATTCGATGAATTTTGGATAATAAAATGTATGTAAATGAGTAATAAAAAAAAAAAAAGCTCTTGCCTATATATTTTGTTACATTTACAGTTTTGGTTACAAATACAACAAAGACATTCAACAATTACTAATGCTAATTTGATATATATATATATATATAATTATATAAGAATAAAATAATATTATAGATGCATTTTTTAAGAGATTGTAATTTCAAACAAAACTTTTTTTACGCACTGACTTGAGCAATCGTAAATCCAAAATATCTACAACCATTTCAAAAGTTTCCCTCGTTATTAATAATTTAAGTCGTGAACCTTTTTAAAAAATTTTGTGGAGAAAATTCATCCTTACGAAATTTCTACCAATTCGTTATATTTTAGTTCTCCATTTGATTGATCAAATGTTATTATCTTTTGATATTCTATTCTTATATGGTATTACCAAAAACAGTAACAAAAGAAAAACACGTACGTAATAAAAAAATATGTGTTAATAGTGTATCGTAAGTAATTTTTAACTAAGAATTCTTTAATTCAAAATATATATATATATTTATTTATTTATTAATATCGAAAATGAACGTTACTTACCCAGAACAGGACAAACAAATGTAAAAATGAAACTTGGTACTAATAAAAAACTTAGGAATTTTAATTTATATTGACGATACATGATAAAAAAAAAAACTTTGGTGTACTGTATATTAATTTTTTGTGTGCACCGCTTTAATTCTACCACGTTGAATTTGCATAATTCATTGGCAAGAGAACTTATGATTATTAAAGGAATATTTGTAAAGACATTTATTTTGTGTGTGCTATGTAGATATATTTCATAGCCATTTTCACTGCCACTAAAGAAGCGGCTAGCCACAGAGCAATTAATTAATAATATTACATGACATACGTATACAGTCAAACTTATAATCACACAACGGGATTTTTTATCTATAGCGATAGTATTTATGTGGTTATAATGTACTGTACAGTACTTGTAGGGAAGGTGACTATATATATTGGTTCGACTGTATATGATGGCTGTGCTTGATTATCCCGGTAAAAGTATATGTGGACAATATTTACAGTTTATGTATCCTTGAATTATCTTAAAAATCAGTGTCATTGTCATTTCATATATTTCCAGAACCTTATTTAACCAGGTACTCAGAAAAATATTAATTCGGCGTATTTTTCTATGCGTTAAATAGTGTGATATTTTCTTTCAAGTTTTCTGTACAAACAAGAATACATTTTATAACCTATCTATTTGAATGCTTTCGATATCGACGAAATATTGAAAATCTCAACTATTTTCAAACGCTTACCTAAGGAATTGGTTTCTTTTTTACGCCACATTGTTTTTTTTTTCGAATATGAAATGAAAAAAATTAAAAACGAATAAGATTCGATTTTGCAAAGTTTATTAGGATATCTCGTGCTGATATACAAGATAATACAAGATACAATAAATGCTTTTTACGATAATAAAGGACCTTGGATTTCTTTTCTTTATAACTATGATTTAGAATTTTCCTATTCTTGTATGATGTCGCTTTTTTTTGTCTTTGAACTGTCTCTCGTCGTGCCTTTCATTGATTGGCCTGAACCTATTCTTCTACATAAGAAATGTTAAACAAAAAGATCTATATGAACTTAAAAATGTAAAGCCTTGTAAAAAGCTTTCAATTTCAAATTTATTAGGTAGTGACATGATACAATTTTATAGGTTGAAATGATAATATTTTGATATAATGTTGAACCTATATAATTATCCTTGAGAGTTATTTTAAGCATTTTAAGCAGTGAGAGAGGTATCCTTTTTGCTGGTTCATTTTTTCTATAAAAATTGTTTTTGCATTTTAATTTTTTTTAGATTTATTTTTTATGGCTATCTATCGCGGATATAATCGTTTATTATTATTTTTAATATACGCGATATTACTAACGAACAACGAGAATGAATATAAATTTTGGTTTTTTAATATACCTGATACAGTATATTTTTATTAACTCAAATAGTAACTTGATTGATTAATAGATGAATAGATGATTACCTTCTTGATGTAGGTAAAAAAAAAACCTGTAGTAAATTATCTTTTTATATTAAAGGTTCTTTTTTTTTATTACCAGTTTAGCCTCACAAGGCTATGATTTATTTGTAAGGATAACATATATTGAGGATTCATATGTGGCAAAGCACTTAATATATCGTATTATATTAAAAAAAAAATACAGTAATAATTATGGTCGATCTATTAAAGAACTTAGATAGTTGCTTGTCTTTGCGATGTAGCGTGTGGATTATTTTACGTGATAATTTTTTTAAGATTGATTGATTTTCTTTCGGATCGAGATTTTTTTTTTTTCTTGTATCATTGAAGTTTTTTTTTTTTTTTTCTGTGTAAACATTTTCAATGATTTTTTTTTTATGTGAAAAGCCACGAACGGATAATAAAATCGAGGAAACATAGATTGAAAAAATAAATCTTTAAAAAAAATTTTTTTTTCACTATTATAATAATGTTTCGGCATCAAGAATTTCTCTGTTTCGGTATAATACTTACGCCAAGTTTTATTCTGTTATTTGTTTGTCCTGTCTTAGGTAAAGTACTATCTTATCTTTTTTTTTTATTTGAACGATTTATGCGATTGGCTCATCACAAGTAATTATTATCAAATATTATTTTAATAAAAATAAGAAATACAGAAAATTTTATTATTTGATCAATCTAATGGAGAACTTAAATATAATGTATGGGTCGAATATTCGTAAGTTGTCCTAATTATTAAAAGAATTTTATTTTAGAAAAATCAAAATTTTATTTTTTATTTTTTTTTTCGAATCATTTTGGTAGATATCTAACACTTTCAATTTTACTAATTGGTAAGCATTCCTATCCTCTAAATTCTTTTTTTTATCATTACAGATTACATAAATAATATATATATATATGTGTGTATTTGAAAATTTAGTTGTAGAATTATCTTTATGCGGATGTTGTTGTTGCATTGACTTGACCAAATTAGATTTTAAATACAAGTGAGTTGATGATAATTCATTTTAATAATTCATTATAATAATTCATTATAATAATAATAATAATAATAATAATAATAATCATAATCATAATAATAATAATAATAATAATAATAGATTATTTTTTTTTTACTAACTCTATAATTTAGATTAGCCACATCACTTTTATTAATCTTCCCAAGTAGGTTATCTTTTTTATGTTCATCGATAAAAAAAAAAAAATTATATACAGTATATATTCAATAGTCTGATTATATAGACTGATAAAAAAAAAAAAAAAAAAAATTAGCACTTTATACAATAGCTACATACAACGAATTAGGCAAGATTCCAATAGATTGTCCATTAAACTACCCTTATACATCCAAAAAAATTCAAGATGCCTGCGAAATTCGACTAATCAACATAATTTGTATGTGGTTAAATTTTCTTTTCTTAATTTTATTCATGTTATCATTATGTACTTTAAATTATCAAAGATTTGAGAAAAATGTAGAGGATAACAAAAGTTCACCTGAGATGAAAGAATTTCATGAACTTAAAAAATCAGGTGAATTTTTATCGGCGGAAAGTCCTGATATGTTCTTTATTGATCGAAATATGACACGGTCTCCTGTTGGAGAACATGCATATAAATATTAGATTGACTTTTAAGAATAAATGAAAAATAGAATTTCATATATAATTATACATGTAGTAACACGATTTACTTAATTGAATGATAAAATCTATCATTTTTTTTTCTAAATTTAATAATAAGTACACACATATATATATAGTATACATAAAGTTTCATTATTATTATTATTTTTTTTTTAAATAGGGAAATAAAAAATTAACGTTATATATATTTTTAAAAGAATCTTTTGATTTATTAATCTCGTTACATTAGTAGATCTAAATAATATTGTTACAATTAATCTAATTTTATCATCGATATTAGTGGTTAAAAAAAAATTGATGTCTAGATATGGCACAAATTACCTAATTACGAGCATGTACTATATACGTGTACGTGCGTAGGGTTATTATGCACAATTACATATCAAAAACAAACCCGTCGTGATTACTATTAAAGATTATGCAGACTAATTAGTCATCGATGGTCCACTTTACACTTGTAGGTGTATTTACTTCCATATTAATACAAATATCATTATTTGGTTCCTCGTGATCATTTGATTTGCTCACTTTATATTAAATATAATTAATCATTTTTGGTTAGAAATTGAATTAAAAAAAAAAAAGAACGTAGAAATAGAAAAATTACATACATAATTCTTTTAGACCTTTTCCGAAATTTCTTAAAACAAGGATTCCGTAAACATATGTCCCCTAAACCGATTAAGAAGGTTAATGGATAAATTAAAAACATATAAAACATTAAAAATGTTAAGGATTACTAACAACACATATTCCAAGCCAAAATAAAGTTGATGGAATAACTAAAATTAATTGATAAAATTATTTTTATTAATAAGATTAATTTATATTTAAAAATAACAGCTTTTTAAAAGGAAAGAAATACGTACCAGCAAGGAATAAATAATCCCATTGATTAAATTCATATTCAAAATTTAAGATCGTACGTGAAACATTATTAATCAAATCAAATGCAACAGCGATTATAATATATAACCATAATATTGCAAATGTCATCATTCCGGGTTTCCATTCATATAGTACCTATCACATGTACATTATTAATATTATTCAGAATTAATCTTTTTATGAAAATAATAATAATAATAATAATAATTACAGATTTATATGCCAATATTATAAGAATTAAATTTAAAAAAGTAGCTGTAACGTGAATTATTGTTAATACAGTAGATTCTTCTTTATAATTTTGATATACAAAATCTCCAAAATGAATATATGGGACAGTGAATGAGAATAGGTATAGTAAAATAGTGAAAATATTCATTTTTAAAAATATCATAAATATCAAATATTTCTTGTATGAATCTATAGTAAAAAAAAAAAAAAATTATTAACGTAAAATTAAGTAAGAGTTTTTTTTTTTTTTGTAACTTAAATTTACCTCTCATTTTCACATCACCGCCTATCTTTTTATAAATATTCCATCCAAATTGCTTATACAACTTAATTGAATAGAAGGTCGTGATAATAGTGAATACTGAGAGTATGCAAAGAAATGGAATATCATTTGTCCAAAATGAAGGATCAAAATCAGTTTTCCCTGCACATTGTGTAATACCATGTAACTGGTTTAAAGGGAATTTTAGTTCTAGGCCTTGGACCTTTAATAAAAAAAAAAATTAATATTTTATTTTTTAATGAGTAGATTGGAAATGAATAATGAATAAGATACTTACAAGTCCAAAAAAAAGCCATCCAAAATTAAATAAACAGATGGTCGCTATTTGAATGGAATGTTCGTGAAATACCTAAAAAAAATATCATCATTTAACACCTTTCAAGTTTTAACCGTTTATATCGATATTGTTTATATAATTACCGCATTGAAAAATAAGTAAAGCTGCCAAATATGAAATACGATAAAAATGACGTTATTTCCTGCTAAAAACTCTATCGGAATTCCACCAAAATAACTTATGAGCTCATTGTAACATTCATTATTTGACTTTTGAAAATCTTTAGTATATGGATTTGGAGATAATTCAAGATTTACATTGCGTGCCAAAAGTTTCATTTGGAAAGCTACGATAAAGAAGGTTTGAAATATCGATAGTATTATGGCGTATTTTGTGGTTTTTGAGGCGGTTATTCTTTGCCACTGTTAAAAATTAAGTCATCATGAGTATTAATCATATATATATATATCTAACTCAAAATTTTTT